TTCACAAAAATATGAAGCTGCACAACAATTTTCAAAAATGTTTCATACAGATGCATACTGCGGTAGTAAAAAAAAAATATATATATATATAAATTTGTAATATATGATTTAGGTACGCAACATTGCACGACCAAAATGTTTCAACACGATTGCAATGTGATTTTATACAATAGTATTTCAATAAAGAAAAAGTTAAAATTAAGTGAATTACATTTTAGACACATTATTGACATTTCGCTGATGAAAATAGTTCCAAACAAAGCCACAGCAGAACTGTTTTGTGTCTCCGAGCAACATGATGGTGTTTCTTAAAGGGTTAGTTCACCCAAAAATGAAAATTAGCCCATAAATTACTTTCAGACAAATCCAGTCGGAGTTATATTAAAAATTGTCTTTGATCTTTCAAGCTGTTTAATGTCACTCAGCGTGTGTTGTAGTGCATCAGTCCAAAAGAAGTGAAATAAAAAGCGCCCATCCTTAATAAAAAGTGCCTCACACAGCTCCGGGGGGTGAACAAAGTCCGAAAAACTTATCGGCCAATGCCGATATTTGAAAAATGCCAAATATCGGCCAACATATCGGCCTTGGCGATATATCGGTCGACCACTAGTAGCCATGCAAAGTTAAAACAGTTTAAACTTTTAGAAAGCACGTCACGAATTTGTGGAGGTTTATTCCTTTTCACTGCGTCTCATATGTTTTAAATGCAGTCTGTGTGAATGGCGCTTCGGCTCTTTGGATTAAGCAATGCATAAATACATGATGCTGTTTTGTTCATAATTGTTTATGCATTTTACGAAATTATATTTGATGATTTATGAGTTAATTTAGACGTAATGCACGTTTTTATAGAGTTATGCATTAGCATTATTTTGCTCATTGCGCCCTCGGGAGACAATTAGACCTATACAATAAAGACCCATTTAATCTGCATATAAAACATTAGAAATTAGATGTTTAATTTTTATTGTGTTTGATTGTTAAAACAAAAAATATTTGTTGTTTGTCTCAAATTGTGTTAATTATAAATACAGTGGTTAAATTTAAACATTTTTTTTCTATTGCTTTTTGTTTTAAAAAAGGTTATAAAAAATGTTAACAAACTAGAAATGATAAAACTACAAGGTAATTCCAAAAAAATCATAAACTGCTTCTGCTGGAAAATTATGACATATTGGGCAAAACAGTGATTGGAATAGGAAGCAGTGATTGAAATGAACATACAAGATCAACGTAGGCAAATATTTTAGTGGCAATAGAGAACTAGCCCCAAACTTGTGAATTTATATCAGCATAAGCCTGAAAAAAAACATACTGGCTACTATGTTTACTTTTCAGCTAAGAGGGAACAAACAATGCAAAATTGTAACTACAGAACTAAACAGTTAACATAGAATTTAGCATTGTGTAATTCACTTTAAACTAGGCGATTCTCAGCTGTAATCAAACATCAGAGCAACAATACAACAAAAACCGCAGTTCAGCAACAGGAGAACAAAGACCTGCCTCGTCTGCTTTTTTTTTTTTTTTTTGGTACAGATGGAAACTTTAAGCGAGATCTCCGGCTGTCTTCATAAACCCGTATCATTTTTCAGTCTCCCGTGAAACACAAAGGAAAGGAATTATGCCGTTGTCCTGGATGATTTTGTCCATACAATGAAAGCGAATGAGGCTGGATGCTGTCGAGCACCAAAAATGACAAAAAAGCACCATGAATAAATCATAAAAGTGGCCTACATGACTCGAGCCTTCAGTCTTCAAGTCATACAGACTATTTTTAAAATGTGTTTGATTCATAACATATAGCACTAACTATTATTAGGGATGCACCGATACCACTTTTTTCAGTACTCGCCCGATACCGATACTTCTATTTTTGGTACTTGCCGGTCCTTACTCTGTTTATGTGGTAAGTGAAATTTTATGTACTGTAATGTAACAGGCAACCATTACACCATGTTTACACCGGACGCGACAGTTGTCGTGTCGCGCCGCATCAGTTAAGTCTGTCTACACTGGACGCGACAAAGCAATAGATCAGTGGTTCTATAGTATTTTGTCGCGCCGTATTATTTTACAGCTGTTCCAACAAAAACAGTAGAAATCAATGACTTTTAATCAAACCAGATGTTGAATCCAACTGGAATATATATATATATATATATATATTAGTGCTGTAAAACGATTAATCGCATCCAAAATTAAAGTATACATACATACACATATATATATATATATATATATGGATGGAAATACAATTCCACACATAATCCATTACACCATTATAAACCCACTGACTTCGATTCTAACATTGTAATTTACATACAAAACAAGAACAGAAACATGTATATGTTCAATAAATCTTCAATAAATCTAATCTTTTCAATTATGAGAGCGATTGTGTGTAAAATGTAACTGTAGATTACTCTACACCTGCGCTCGCCACAAACCCGCTGTCATCAAACAAAGACACATACCCCCATCATATATCACTACACTAGAAGTACATTATCCTATTTTCGTATCATATAAAAGTATTTTAAAGCGCTTTTGTGGACTGAACTGAATGAGGTACATTTACATTACTGTACTTGGTGACCAGCGGCGCTGCTAACAGATGAACAACCAGCCGGAAAACTCACCTAAGATCCGCGATACGACCCCCAAACCACTTTAAACACATATATACAGATGTTTTGTACTGTCTTATATGCGTTGTGTATAAAACACATTATTATTTGAAGCCTCTCGACCGTGCTAGCTGTTAGCGCGTTAGCACGGGCGTGTGATGCTCTCTTTTGTTGACGTTAGCTTCCGCGCTAACTGTGCTCAAACATAACTAATAAATCACATTATCGCCGCTTGAACAAGCGTGTGTGGCGGTAAATCGGCGTCTTACCTTTTTACACCCTTGTTAGGATCCCTCGGCTGCGTTGTGACTCATTAAATTATTAATATTAATTTGTGTAGTACTCCCTGATTCTTTTATTTTATCTATCAATTGAGCAGGAGCAGCGACCTCAAACGCCCCCCGAGGCGCACAGACTCGCTCTGAAGGTTCCGCTCTTCTCACGGTCCGGGGGGCTGAGTGTCACTGAGTGTTTCATAATCACTCAGGGTTGCATAAATGTAAATACAACAAGGTGGCGTGTTGTATAAATGCCTAGAATAATCCAGACAGATGACTTACAAAAGGAAGTTCAAAGACAAGACTGTCGGTGACAGTATATAGGCCTACATCGTTTCAATCTGGACTGGAAGCCTGTACTTTCATCTTTTTTTTCGTTTCGTTTCGTTTTGGGATGTACCTTCATATTATGCATGCATTTTGATGTTTTAAGTATTATATAAAATTACTGCATACATATAAAATAGTAGCCTATATGTGACATGTTTTATATTTATGACAGGTAAAGCTATACATACAGTATTATGTAATTCATTACATAATAAACATTATAGGCTGTGTTATATGTTATAAAACAGCCATGTTTATGGAAAGGTTGTTAAAATGGCAAAGATGTTCAAGCTAGGTTTTACATTTTGCTTAAGCCTGTATTGTTATAAATAATATACTATTATAATGTAATAATATATACATTCATTAAAGTATTTTAGTAGCCTACATATCTGTTTAATTTGTTGAATTAAAATATTATTTTTATGATATTTGTGTAAAATTTGTTATTGCATTAAAAAAATCGATTTATTGTATGATATATAATTTATTATATAATTAGAAGCAGTTTATATCATGTTATAAAACAGCAAAGTTCAAGAAAAGGGTGTGTAAATACCCTAAATCCATTTAGACGACTTTCACTTTTTACTTGATTATAAATATTATTTTATATAGAGTCTAGATTCTAGAAGATAATAATATATGCTTTGATTAATGTATCATATTTTTCTATACAAGCCTGTAGTTATCTTTTTTAGACTGTATTATTGCAATATTATATTACTTTGTCATTTATAATGTAATAATATGTACTTTCATTAATCATACTTTGTATACAAAGCCTTTTTACTTTAACATTTTTCATTTAGCATATATCTTTATATTTTAGTGTTTTTGAACATTAAATATATATATTTTTAGAAAATATAGTATCTGATAAATAGTACATTCTAATATTTTAATGCGTTTAAAATTATTTAAATATAACAATATATTAAAAATACATGTTATTCATGTTATGTAACTTATTATATAATTAGGAAGCATTTTATGGCATGTTAAAAAAAAAAAACAGTGCTTTTAGAAAAAAGTTTCCCAAGAACAATCAAACTAGAAAACTTTTTAAATTTATTTTTGTACAAAAAAAGAGACAGTACCAGTATCACGCCTTTATAATAATACATTTGTTTATTATTATTATTATTATTATTACACTAAACTATATACATATTATTACATATTATATATTATATTAAATGTCTCTAACAGAATTTTACTTATGCACTAAAAGCATTCAGTAACTACAAATCACGTAAATCACTTTTTATTACATAAAATATTATGTAAAGTGATATTTAGGCATACATAATGTCCAACATAAACGGGTTAGATATAGATTTATTTATTTATTTATTTAGTCATTTAGCAGACGCTTTTATCCAAAGCGACTTACAAATGAGGACAACGGAAGCAATCAATTGTAGTATTAAAACAACTAAAAACAGATCCAAAACTAAAAGCAAATAAATAACAAATACAAATAATACAAATCAAACGTCAGTAGTTTATCAGTAATACTAAAAAATAACACTGCCAAACTTACATGCTAAAAAACAACAACTTACTTACACATAGTAAGAAATGGTTATAAAAACTGAAACAGAAGCGAAACAAGTAGTAGGAAAGAGGAGAAATAAAAAGAGATACTTATTAGAGATATAGAACAACCACAAAACAGGTATACCAAAAAAACAAAAACAAATATGCGAATAAATAAACTTACGAAACCCGTTTTATCGTGACACTCATCTGTCTTGAACTTCACAGCAGCAGATGCAGCGCCACCCAGCGCTTCTTCACTGTATTGCGTCATGACGCACGGCGCAGCGGAATGACGTCAACTACAGCCGACGGCGCTGCTCTTTTTGCGTTTACTAGCCGTCCAGATCGTCCAAAGATTGATCAAATATGTATTAGGAAATGACTGATGTAGTGTTTTATAATATTATGGACTGGTCGATGGTTTAGCGGAGAGATTTGGCGACTCTGATTTCTGCAAAAATGAACAAAGGTTGGCTGGAGTTAGAAAGTGACCCGGGTGAGTCTCTAAATAAACATTTATGCACATAATGCCATTATATAATAACCAATAATTATATTATTATTCATAAAATAGCCTGTAGGTTAACATGTCATCTTCCAATATAGTATTTTGTGCTTGTAGTATATTAATTAGACTAAAATGCATATAAGTCAACGCACTCGTATTAATTTCTGGTTTATCTCATAATATAATACTTTATCATATAAAACTTCTACTTGCTTATAATACTGTCTGTTTTGTGATGTCTCGTTCTTTTTCAGGGTTGTTCACACTCTTGTTGGAAGACTTTGGTGAGTTGATCCGTTTGGCACAGACATGCTTTTATCAATCTATTAAGTATGGAAAGTATGATATATAATGTTTATGTTTGGACTCAGGTGTGAAGGGCGTTCAGGTGGAGGAAATCTATGATCTTCAGAGCAAATGTCAAAGGTGGATTAATCACACACTTTTACGTTTTGTCATTTTTTTAAGCCTGTATGTTAATATTTATAAACTAAAATTAATTTGTTAACAATATTAATCATTTAAATGTTGTTTGTATACATACATATATTAATATTGTTAATATCAGTGTGTATTACAGTTTTTATCACAATAACATTTTTGTCATTTTTAAGCCTGTATAATATTGTTATATTGGTGATATTGGTTTCCTAATGATATTAATAATTTAAATATTAATTATAATGTTATTTTGGATTTTTGTTAACCTTTCATTTTTAATTTATTTTTATAATTTATATCTATGTATAAATATATATTTTATTGGTTATTTCATCATACAATTTACCTCTTTTGCCACTTACCATTTTAAGCATTTATGTTTATACAATAACAATTAATAAAATATTAATTTTGTAAAAAATGTAATATAAATTTTAATATTGATTTTTATCTATCTATATATATATATATATAACTTTTTTTAAATTATTATTCTAAAGCTGTCCTGTCTTTTTTTGTCTTCTCAGTCCTGTTTATGGCTTCATCTTCCTCTTCAAGTGGATCGAGGAGCGAAGATCTCGGCGTAAAGTCTCCACGCTGGTGGATGAAACCTCAGTTATCGATGACGAGATTGTTAACGACATGTTTTTTGCTCACCAAGTTAGTCCCGACAATATTTGCACTGCAACATAAATCTGCAGTTATTATCCTCCTTTTCTATAGTCTGTTTGTGGAATGTTGTGTGCAGTTGATACCGAACTCCTGTGCCACTCACGCTCTTCTGAGTGTGCTTCTGAACTGCAGCGGCGTGGAACTGGGAACGACTCTGAGCCGTATGAAGGCTTTCACCAAGGGCTTCAGTCCTGAGGTCAGTTACACACATAAAGATCATTTTTGGACACTTAAAGGGATAGTTCACCCAAAAATGAAAATTCTGTTATCATTACTCACCCTCAAGTTGTTCCAAACCCGTATAACATACTTTCTGCTATTGAACACAAAAGAAGATATTTTGAAGAATATTGCTAACCAAATAGATGATGGTAGCCATTGACTTCTATAGTATGGGGAAAAAAACTATGGAAATCAATGGCAGCCGTTAAAGGGTTAGTTCACCCAAAAATGAAAATTCTGTCATTAATTACTCACCCTCGTGTCGTTCCAAACCCGTAAGACCTTCGTTCATCTTGGAACACAAATTAAGATATTTTTGATGAAATCTGGGAGCTCTCAGACCCTCCATAGACAGCAACACAACTGAAATGTTCCCAGACTCAGAAACATAGTAAGGACATCAGTAAAATAGTCCATGTGACATCAGGGGTTCAAACGTAATTTTACAAAGCAGCGAGAATACTTTTTGTGCGTAAAGAAAACAATAATAACTAGGGATGCTCCGATCGATTGGCCGGAGATCGGTATCGGCTGATAATCATATTTTATGACTCGATCGATACTCAAAAACTTGGCCGATCTCAGGAAACGATCGCAATTTGATGACGTCAATGTGTGACGACGTACATGATGCGTGGGTACATAAATGATTTGGCGCCGCAGTCATGTCATCGCCGGTGTGGCAATGCTATAACGTTTTGAGAAACGTTATAGCAGTGCTTGTGTTTATCAGCCAGCCGCGGCACATTTCTGAAGCGGCTCTCCGCGCTGCTTCGTTAAAAATAGTCTTTTGTGAGGTGTCACAGCGTGGAGGACGGAACAAAAACAGAGGTTTCCCCAGTAACAGCTGTACACAAAGCAGCACTGAGCTCACAAACACTGCTTTATCAGGCATATAACATGCAAGATGAAATGAAAATGACATCGAAAATTTTCTAAAGCAAGTCCCGCATCTATTTTGATAGGACAGTATAGCAGTGACAGGAAGCGAAGTAGGAGAGAGAGGGGGGGCGGGATCGGTCCACGAGCCGGGACTTGAACTCGGGACGCCCGGAGCGCAACGGCACAATATGTCAGCGCACTGCCCACTAGGCTATTGGCGCCGACCTCGTTGATTTTTAAACGTGCAGTACGTGCTCATGTTTATTCAACGAAGCCTTTTGGAAAATCCGTTAGTTTTGATATTGTGGTGAGCACCACAAATAAATAAATGTATGGGAAACACATCCCACAGCACAACCACCTGAGCCCAACTTCAGTCTACTCATCACCTTAACTTTAACTGCGTTTGTAGCCGGTGCCATAGCCAGACTGATAAACAAACACAGACCAGAAGTTAACTTAGGGCCAGGTGCGTGCGCCCACTGAAACCGTCTATATAAAGCTTGAAGCATCAGAATCGGCATCGGTATCAATCGATCACCATGACAAGAAATCAGTACTCAGTATCGGCTGCAAAAATCCTGATCGGAGCATCCCTAATAATAACATAATTTATTCAACAATTCTTGTCCCCGGGTTACCGTCTTCCACCATGTTGGAGAGTACCCCAGAGCATAATCAGCGTTGTTTACATTCAACATGTGCGCGCTTTCTACTAAACGTAAACAACGCTGATTATGTTGGTTACGTTGACCCCTGATGTCACATGGACTACTTTACCGATGTCCTTGCTACGTTTCTGGACCTGGGAACATTGCAGTTGTGTTGCTGTCTATGGAGGGTCTGAGAGCTCTCGGATTTCATCAAAAATATCTTAATTGAAGATGAACGAAGGTCTTACGGGTTTGGAACGACATGAGGGTGAGTAATTAATGACAGAATTTTCATTTTTGGGTGAACTAACCCTTTATCTATTTGGTTACCTTTATCACTTTAAGTCATGTTTAAAAATGTCTGAATGTCAACAAAGTAGCATTAGCACACTTACATCTTCTCTTTGCCTGTTTTAAAACAAGTCTTTATTGTTTGACTTCTCAGAGTAAAGGTTACGCCATTGGAAACGCTCCTGAGCTGGCAAAAGCCCACAACAGCCATGCCAGGTAGAGTCAAGCTTTAATATTACACGTCTTCCCCATTAACATAGAATAAGTAGATTTTACACAAACATATCTAAATCTGCTGTTTTGTAGTCATTGTTTTTGTCTTGTTTTCCATGTAGACCGGAGCCGCGGCACCTGCCGGAGAAACAGAACGGCATCAGTGCCGTGCGGACAATGGAGGCATTTCACTTCGTCAGTTATGTGCCAATCAAAGACCGTCTGTTTGAGCTGGACGGTCTGAAGGCATATCCCATCGACCACGGTGAATTATCAACCTACAGAGGGCTGAATTCAAAGACACCCCGAAAATCAAAGTGAAAAAATGATGCAGCAGACTAGTCCATTTTGCTGAAATTTCATTGCAGCAACTCAAAATGGCACTCAGTAGTTTGTATGGCCCCCACGTGCTTGTATGCATGCCTGACAATGTCGGGGCATGCTCCTAATGAGACGACGGATAGTGTCCTGGGGTATTTCCTCCCAGACCTGGACCAGGGCATCACTGAGCTCCTGGACAGTCTGAGGTGCAACCTGGTGGCATCGGATGGACCGAAACATAATGTCCCAGAGGTGTTCTATTGGATTTAGGTCAGGCGAGCGTGGGGCCCATTCAATGGTATCAATTCTTTCATCCTCCAGGAACTGCCTGCATACTCTGGCCACATGAGGCCGGGCATTGTCGTGCATAGGGTTGCAAAGGGGTGGAAAATATCCGGAAACTTTCCAAAAATCCCTGGAATATTCCCAAAAAAGCCTGGAAAGTTTCCAAAATTTCTGGAATGTTTCCTAAATTTTTGCAACCCTAGTCGTGCACCAGGAGGAACCCAGGGCCCACTGCACCAGCGTAGGGTCTGACAGTGGGTCCACGGATTTCATCCCGATACCTAATGGCAGTCAGGGTGCCATTATCTAGCCTGTAGAGGTCTGTGTGTCCCTCCATGGATATGCCTCCCCAGACCATCACTGACCCACCACCAAACCGGTCATGCTGAACGATGTTACAGGCAGCATAACGTTT